AGGTAGCAATCTGATCCACGGTTTCATTTTTTGTTTGAGATTTTTTTTATCTTTTAGTTATTTGTTTGAGTCTTGTTATTTAGTTTTTTAATCTGTTTTGGTGGGTAGGGGTTGGCTGTAAGGGGATGGTTTCTGTTTCTATAGCCACCCAGAGCACTGGATTTTCATTTAGTGAGGTGGTATAAAAATGTCATAAATAAAATTTTATTTCTCCACCTGCTTATAGCATGAATGCTCTGTAGTGGAAGTCAATATACTCTTCTGGTCCTTTCTGCCATCAGAAGAAACCAGATCTTAGCATTAGACTTTTCTATTGTTCTTTATTTTCCAGATACAGCACCTGGGATAATAAAATGAACCATGCCAACGTAACGTCACTGTTTCAGTAATGTACAGTATACATGCTAAAAATTTCAGCTCCCTGTCAAAATGTGTCGGAGGCAACACATAGGGAAGGTGTTCAGCTCCCTCTCCTGCCGTGCACAAAGGGTCCAGGACTCACTGCAGTACAGGGGTGTGCTCAGGACACAGGCTCTATAGACCTGGATCTTGGTATATGTTGTCAGCTTCTATTGAGCCATACTTTTTGTGAGTATAGAGAACATGGTAGCTGCTTTGCCAATGCATTCATCCAGCTCGACATCTAGAGTGAGTGTGTCAGAGATCAAAGCAAGGTACACATAGTCATGAACAACCTCCAATTCCTGTGTGGAGATGGTAATAGAGGGAGGTGAGTCCACGCCCTGGACCATGACTTGTGTTTTCTTCAGGCTGATTGTTAGTCCAAAGTCTTGGCAGGCCTTGCTAAAACAAGTCATGAGTTGTTGGAGGTCTTCAGCAGAGTGGGCAACAATGGCTGCATCCTCGGCAAAGAGGAAGTCCCACATGCGTTTCAGTTCGACTTTGGTCCTCGCTCTCAATCTAGAGAGATTGTAGAGCTTTCCATCTGATCTAGTCTGGAGATAGACACCTTCTGTTGCAGTTCTAAAGGCATGCTTCAGCATGACAGCAAAAAAGATCCCAAAAAGGGTTGGTGCGAAGACACAGCCGTTTCACTCCGCTTCGGATGTCAAAGGGATCTGATGGTGAGCCATCAAAAACTACAGTCCCTTTCATTCCCTCATGGAAGGACCTGATGATGTTCAGGAGTCGAGATCAACATCCAGTCTTAGGAAGTATTATAAAAAGGCCATCCCTGCTAACCAAATCAAAGGCCTTTGTGAGAGCTATGAAGGCCACAAAGAGGGCTGTTGTTGTTCCCTGCATTTCTCCTGCAACTGTCTGAGGGAGAATACCATGTCAGTGGTGGATCTATTAGCTCGAAATCCACACTGCGATTCTGGATAGACTCTGTCTGCAAGGACCTGGAGCCTCTTCAGCACGGCATGTTATATAACAGCAGTTATATTATGTATAACTAATAATATAATCACATGAAGGAGAAAATTGAGAATCTAGTTTTTTGCAACACACCTACTCTTGCAAAAATAGTATGAGGTGCTGATAAGTATTGAGCCTTTCCCAGAAAAAAAACTGAGCTAGGAGGCTATAAATTGCAGGGTACATTGGCCAATTTGTCTAGATTCAATGGTGAAAAAATCAACTACCTATGATTTTAACTTATCTTTCATGTTCAGGTCCAAAGTGAACATGGCAGCACCTCCAGAAAAGTTCAGTGTGGAAGAGCATAGACCAGAATCAATTTCCTGTTTCTCCAAGTGAAAGGTGCAAAGCAGATCCATGGTCAAATCTCACAAACTATGGGTGACAGCGGCCCTTCACGTGCAACAGTTAAACATTGAGTTGTCAATTTTAAAACTGGCCATTTCGGTGTTGAAAGGGAAAAACCCACTGGAGGGCCTGTTTCTGTCTCTGTGCCTGCAAATGTGAAAGCCATCCATGACATGATCATGGAGGACTGCTGAGTATCAGCCAGAAATATTGCTATATATCTGAGAATATCATGTGAGAGAGTTGGTGCCATTATCCACGATGACTTGGAAATGAGAAAGCTGGCAGCAAAATGGATCCCCAAACTTTTGACAACCAAACAAAAGAGGAAACATGTGGAATCACTGGTGGCTGTTTTGGAACATTTTGCAAGAAATGAGTCAGATTTCCTGGGCAAGCTGGTAACTGGTGATGAGACAAGAATCTATGTTATGATCCTTAGACAAAGGAACAGTCTAAGGAATGGAGACACAGTGGTTCCCTTAGGCCAAAGAAGTTCTAAGTGCAAAGGTCGGTGCAGAAGCAAATGGCAACAGTTTTTTTGGGATAAGAAGGGATTTCTGCTGGTGGACTACCTCCAACAGGGTTCAACCATCAATGCAAAATATTACTGTGCTTTATTGATGAAGTTGAGGCAAAAGATCAAGGAAAAACGAGGAAAGCTCTCCGAAGGTGTCATCCTGTTGCATGACGCCTCGTCACACACTGTAGGTGAAACAATGGCAAAACTGATGTCCTTAGGCTTTCAAGTGATGCCCCATCCACCCTATTCTCCTGGCCTGGCTCCTTCTAACTATTATCTGTTCCCCAAACTCAAAAAACACCTAAAGGGACGACGATTTGGGAGTGTTCTGGAGGCAACTAATGCTGCAAATGAGTGGTTACACCAGAAGTCAGAAGAATTTTATTTGCAGGGACTTAAGAAGCTGTAGGACAGATGTCGCAAGTGCACTGACTTCCCGGGGGAACATGTAGAATAGTGTGGTAGTTACAGGTTCCTAGGTCATTTTTTTTTCTGGGAAAGGCTCAATACTTATCAGCACCCCCTCGTATTTTTGTGCCACAAAATGTAGTCAGTGTAACTTTTTGAATATAGTTCAGAGACATTCACTGCAGCTAGACCTCATTGTGAGACTTCTCTTTATTCACAAGTACACCAAATCTGCAGCCACTCTAAATTGGGTAAGCACATGCTGTATTATGCATGTACAGGGCCAATTTTAGGCATATGATTAGGTGCTTCTGATAGAGAAGCTGTACACAACTTCAAACCTAACAATATCAAATATAGACATCAGATGTACCCATGGAAATGTATTACACAGATATATTTCAAAGAAAATACTAACTGCACTCAGGACAATTTTATAGTTCTATTTCATTTGTTTTCCAGATAAAACAGGGTACATTTATTACTACATCAATTAGTATTCTCTAGAGTAAAGGTAAAGGTTCCCCTTGACAATTTTTGTCCAGTCGTGTTTGACTCTAGGGGGCAGTGCTCATCCCCGTTTCCAAGCCACAGAGCCAGCGTTTGTCCTAAGACAATCTTCCGTGGTCACATGGCCAGTGCGAATTAGACACGGAACGCTGTTACCTTCCCACCGAGGTGGTCCCTATTGATCTACTTGTATTTGCATGCTTTCAAACCGCTAGGTTGGCAGGAGCTGGGACAAGCGATGGGCGCTCACTCCGTCATGTGGATTCGATCTTACGGCTGCTTGGTCTTCTGACCCTGCAGCACAGGCTTCTGCGGTTTAGCCCGCAGCGCCACCACGTCCCTTATTCTCTAGAGTAAGAGTAGCTCAAGAAGCAGATTTCAAGAGCATTTCCCCTTGGAGTGCTTGGTGATTGCTTTTCATAATATTAGATGAGACATAATGATCAGGAAGCAATGGATACATTTAAACCATATGAAAGAATAAGAGCTAGAAACAGATGTGTAGCCTGGAAAAGTCTGAATGATAAACCCCACAAATGGCAAAAGATTGGGAAACATTAAGTAATCAACCTCCAGGTTCAGGTGAGCTTGCAGACAGCTATCAACTTTATAAAATGATTAATGTAGTCACTGAGGCAATTGACTGTTGATCTCGTTATCTTTCAGTTTAATCTTTTGTGGATCAAAGTCCAGACAATGAAGAAATGCCATGAAATGCCATAAAATCTTGAGATTTTGAAAACTTTTTTTCTTTTCACTTTGCCAGTATATCGAGATCAATGAAAAGTGGTATCACTTTTGAAACTCTTAAATCTTTCTGTGGGCTTTATGAATGTTTATCATGAAATGTTACTGCAAGAGCTACCAGGCATTCAGGAAACTGCTTTTGTGTGATCCTATATATTCTTGGCTGGAAGAAACTCATCCCAAAAGGTGATGAGGCAGGACTTTCCAGGATTCTGTGGAAACAGTGGCATCAACAGACACACAACATTCCCCTCCACCTTTTGTTTTCATCCATCCTCCATACAGATTACTCAAGATCATAACTGAACATTAAAAAAAAACCCAGTAATAACTATGATAATTAAGAGATATTATAAAATGGAAATAAATAAATGCAGCAACTGATCAGAGGACAACCTGCATAACCTTGACCATTAAAGATTACAGTATCAACTAAAATATATTGCTTGCGTTCACATATTCAGCTAAGAACTACAAGATCATAAGCAACGTATCTGTAAATCCAGTCACAAAAGTTTCATTACTGCCAGTATGGCAAAATTGTACACCCTATGGGGCAGAGTATCTAGAAATATGCTTTTCACCAAATGTGACAGAAGACATAGACATATGTGTATTCTTAAATACTGGGACCTATTCACCCCCATTTCTGAAATAGGAATGCAGCAATTACAGAAACTGATGTCTGTATACATGCCATATTACCCAGATACGGTATCATGTAACATGGTCATACACGTGCAAGCAGCACATGCACAATATGGATGGACTTGAGATTGTGGGGGGAAACCCACAGAAAATAGAAACATAGGTGCTTAGCTTAACTTACTATATGAAACAACTTTTAGAATTCAAAATTTGCTTCCAAAGAAGTTCAAAGAAGTATTGCACTATTACTAAATCTTTGCACTATTGCAGGCACACAGTGTACTCATTGGGAATCCACACAAGAGCCATTTTAAAAAGACCTTTAAAATAATGCCTTACAGAATGTGACCTCATGTCGTGTTCATGCTATGTCTAGCACAGTTCGCAACATTCAACTCTTAAATATTCACAATTACAAATTCCACTTTTTCAATTATTTGCCATCAATGATTTTTAATTGCTAAGAATGCAGGAAATATACAGAGTTGTCGCCACCACATTCGAACCTAAAGCCATTGTTTAAATTCCCTGACCCTTTCTTCCCACACAAACCAGTGTTATTTATCAAAGCAGGTTCTCAGTACTGTCGAGATCCCTTAGCAATTATGTATCTGCCAGAACAATCCAAGCAATTCAGTTTCCTTCTTCTGCAGGGCCTTTTCAAGTCTCAATGAATTAGGCAAATTTTATACACTTGTCTCCTATGAGCAGACAAGTATTACTGAGGGTACACCATGCTGCAAAGAAATTACAGCACTATTTAAGTTACTGGTCCAAGGACTGTTTACCCATAAGGGAGTGCTTTACTGGTTGTAATGGTTAAAGAGTCTGCAACTGTGAGGCTGGGGGGGGGGGACATGCAGTGTGAGACAAAGCCCCAGAATCACATTCTCCTATAAGCAGCATCTCATTAGCTTAACGTTTCCTAACTGTACAGGGGCTTCCGGTTTTGGAGATAGGGAAGTTGGAATGAATAAAAGGATATGTACTGAAACTACCATATTGCTGAAGGCTGCATTTTATCCTCACATTTCTGGCTCCTATCTTCACATCTACAAATCAGAAGAGGTTTTCAGGAGCACCCAGCCTAACATAAAGGTTGTATGTGATGAAAAATGCACCGGCTTCCTAAGCAGTTTATTAATGAATAAATTATTTTTAGGCAATCTATTAATGTGCATTTTTTACTTTAACTTCCAAATGCTGGTTCATTCACCTTCCTTTACTATACTACAGCCTTTCAGTTCCTACAATCTCACCTTGTGAAGGTAATGATATAGACCTTTAAAAACTCACTTCTTAACTTTTTCCAGTAATGTAAAAGCCAGTTACTACCAATGCTACTGCTTTGATGTTGCTGCTGTAAGTTAATGGAGAACTTAATTATCTACATCAACTTCCAATTAATCCGGGTAATTAAGACCTCCCCAAACTCTGTAAACATCAACAGAAAGAACCTGTTCTACAGATTTTGATGTTGAGTTAGCAGTTTTCATATTTGTCAAAAGTCTCATAGAACCCTGGCCTGACTTTTCTGATGCTCATACGTATATGTTGACATTCAGGGGCAACTGCATCACTATAGCTAGTTGAAGTTGCTGTCCCAGTAATCCAGCCAGAAGATAAGCGCTTTCTTTTTGCCTTATGTGAAAAACCTCCAATTCCCTTGCTGCGTTCAAGACAAGAATCATCTTTCTTTCTTTCACTGACATCATCAATGGCCTGCTCAGCTCGGTTGGAACTCATGCCTTTATGTTTACGTGCCTCTCTCTCTTCTTCAGCAATCTTCCTGAAATGCTCTAGTGACTCTACCTTTCTTCGTCTTTCTATTGTTTCCATTTGTTTCTTGTCCATGAAATCCTCAAAGTACATTTTCCGTTCACTTCTCTGATCTTCAAGAAATTTCCACTCAATGTCTGTCATCTTCACACCACCGTACTGTTCCAACTTCTCTCTTGTTACAGTGTCTGTACAAAATATATCAAAAAGCTGCTCTGAGCTCCTGTTGAAGTCATCTGCTTTCTGTGTAAACAGCTCATTTTTCCTTCGCTTTCTGGACTGATACAATTTTGAGAATTCCTCATACACCTTAAGAATATGCTTCTTTATGCTTTGTGTTGCTATAGTATACAAATTGCAAAACAACCAGTGTTCCTGCAGAAGTTCAGCAAGCAACTGGGCAGCATCTTCTTTGGATCGCTGGGCTTGCCCAGCCCTTTTGGGATGCAACAGATATAACATATTTTGAATGACATCCTTTTTTGTAGGCAAAATTCCTTGTGCAAATTCTGATGATTCCACATAATCAACAGTTCCCAGAGTCTTTTTTGCTTTTGCTTTAGGATCCAAAGCTGCCATTCTTCTTTCTCAATGTTACTTCACATCAAAAGCTGAAATTAAAAAAAAAATTAGCTGAAACAGAATAATGTAATGACCAGAAGCAAAACAAAACTACAGCCTACTTATGTATTTAAAATACTTTTAACTTGCCTTTCTCCTTTGGCTATTCAATTATTTTAGGAGCGAAAGGTAATGAAGCTCAGCATTTGGATTTGTAAGCAAAATAGAACTGAGCAATAAGTGCATCAAGAAAATATTTTGTTCTTGTAAATATGCATTTTCAAATTTTACTATGATTTCTATGAAAGCAGAGATAAATATTTCTTGCACTCTTAATGGCATTCATGAACCATTGCGGTAAAATTACAAAATACTATAAAATAAAATATGAAAATATAAAATAAAACAACTTCTCAAAAACAGACAATATTCTAACAATCCTCTAGCTATTTCTCCATAGTACTAATAACTTACAGACTACCCTGTCAAACAATGCTGTCTGTCCATTCTAACCAGAATTTTGTGGTGGCCTGTTTTCCGATATGCTCACTGAAGAAGGAAAAAAACACCAGAAAACTACAGGAAGGTTTCGCATCAATTCATTTTTGGAGCTGCCCACTACTAGGCATTTCTCAGAAGCAGTGGATACACTACTGTTATTCTATAGGCCATCGAATTTGTCTTCTCCCGTTTCCTTATATCCAACAGAAATCACCTGATGGCTATAAGCTTCAGTTAATTATATTTAATACCATTTCATTTCCCAGTGTACTCTCGCATATGCAACACAATCCCATACACGTATTCTCAGAACTCACACACTTAAGTTCAACAGAATTTATTTTTACGGAAATCTATAGAAAAGGACACTAAAATAGTTTATTAAAAAGGAGGGAGATAACCAATTACCGAGTAGAAAACCGCAAGATAAACATAAGGTGTAGCAGTCAACTTAAATACAACAATGTTTCCAATTCATTCTGTCGGACGGGCCAGAAAAACCAGGTAAGTCCTATACGCTTCACTGTCTATTCCCATGATGGGGATCAGGCGCTGGGTTCGAAAGCGGAGAAAAAACTCCTCCTCGTATCTGTTACTTGTCATTATTCCCCGCTTTTGAAAAAAGGAAAAAACACCAGAAAACTACCGATGAACGCGAAAGCCGACACAAGGCTCCATGAGAAGGCAGGGGGTGGGCCCGTGTCCTCTCAGCCCAGAAAAAGCACTTTCCCCACCTTACAGCCCAGGCCGCCTGAGGCGCTGGCGCCACCTCCCCTATTAGGCCTACCACAAGGGATTAGCGCGACCCCCCCACATCCCATTTCCCATTCCTCCCCAAGACCTGCCTTGGATCACTAGCAGCAGCAGCAGCAGAAACAGGCAAGCCGGCAGTTAAAACCTCTGGGCCCACAGCTCCTCGGCCGCCATTTTGGCTAGCGAAGCGGAGAGAACACTGCGCAGCAGGAAAAGGGACGGCAACGTCACCGCCGCCATCTTGAAGAAGGGCACGGCTAACATCCCTTCCCGAGGAAGCTTTACTGATTTCAGCGTCCCTATGGTCTGATTTGTCACTGAGGAGCTGCTTTGAAAAAAACAAACATTGAGACCTTGTCTTCTGATTTTACAGCAAACACAAAAACTGGGCTTGAACGCTCAACCGCGACAACGAGCCACCGACTACTGAGAAGAGTCAGTGAGGAAACGAACCCAGAGGTAAACAGAAGACATTGGCTTCTTGGCGGGCGGGTCGGATCCTCAAAACCCGGAAAAGTGACATCCTGGTCCTTTCGAATAAACCGATTGGCTAGGGAGCACAAATCGTTGTTAGCTGACAGCCAATAGTCGGTCGGCCGAGTAGAAAGTTGATTGGTCCCCGATCTGGCCACGCGCTTGAGGCACCGTTAGTCTACTCGCCTCTCTCGGGCGGAAGATTTGAAGCCACGCCAGTACCATAGCCCGCGGTGAGCCAATGAGCTTTGTAGGGAGGTGGTTTAGGGGAGCCAATGGGGACAGGGGTAAGAATAAAGATGAATTCCCGGTGTTTTTTCCCCTTCTCGCGGGCTACAGTCTTCCGCCGCGGGAATGGCCTTTGTCTTGTACGAACCTGATTTGACAGTGGCTGGAGTAGTAATCACTAGTAAAAGCCAATACAGTAGATAGCAGGGTGAGTTGTGCGGCGCAGATTGGCTCTTGTGGAATTATTAAACCCCAACAGCCAGTAGCTGCTCCTTGAAGTTTGTCTCAGATTCTCTGGAAGACACGCTGCGTTCTCCTCTTAGAAACGGATGGTAGTATTACCCGGAGGTTTGCCTGCAGGTGGGACGCGTGCCCTCTCTTTTTTCTTCTTTATTTCTAATATATACCATTCAGAGGCACACTCCCTGACCTTGAAAGCGAGCTTGCAGTTATCTGTCGGGCTAACAAGTGCTGAAGTTCGTCATCCGTGGGGCGGTGGGGGTGCAAATTAGAGCCATCATTACTGCCGTAAGGAAACGAATGTTTGGTAGTTACTCTTAAAGGATCGTTCCAGAAGGAATGGTTGTTGTTGTTTAGTCATTAAGTCGTGTCCGACTCTTCGTCTTCCACTGCCTTCCAGAGTTTTGATCGCATACATGTTGGTAGCTTCGATGACACTGTCCAACCATCTCGTCCTCTCCTCTTCCCTTCACACTTTCCCAACATCAGGGTCTTTTCCAGGTAGTTTTCTCTTCTCATGAGATGGCCAAAGTATTGAAGCCTCAGCTTCAGGATCTGTCCTTCCAGTGAGCACTCAGGCTTGATTTCCTTCAGAATGGATAGGTTTGTTCTCCTTGCAGTCCAGGGGACTCTCAAGAGTTTCCTCCAGCACCACAATCCAAAAGCATCAATTCTTCGGCGGTCAGCCTTCTTTACGGTCCAGCTCTCACTTCCATATATCACAACTGGAAAAACCATAGCTTTCACTATGCGGACCTTTGTCAATAAGGTAATGTCTGCTTTTTAAGGTGCTGTCTAGGTTTGTCATCGCTTTCCTCCCAAGAAGCAGGCGTATTTTAATTTTGTGGCTGTTGTCTCCATCTGCAGTGATCATGGAGCCCAAGAAAGTAAAATCTGTCACTGCCTCCATATCTTCCCCTTCTATTTGCCAGGAGGTGATGGGGCCAGTGGTCATGATCTTAGTTTTTTTTGATGTTGAGCTTCAGACAATTTTTTTGTGCTCTCCTCTTTCACCCCCATTATGAGATTCTTTAATTGCTCCTCACTTTCTGACATCAGAGTGGTATCATCTGCATATCTGAGGTTGTTGATATTTATTCCTGCAATCTTAATTCCGTTTTGGGATTCATCCAATCCTGCCTTTCGCATGATGTATTCTGCATATAAGTTAAATAAGCATGGAGACAATATACAGTACAGCCTTGTTGCACTCCTTTCCCAATTTTGAACTAATCAGTTGTTCCATATTCAGTTCTAACTGTTGCTTCCTGTCCTACATATAGATTACTCAGGAGATAGATAAGGTGGTCAGGCACTCCCATTTCTTTAAGGACTTGCTGAAGCCTACCTTGGAGGATTTTCAGTATAACCTTGCTAGCGTGTGAAATGAGTGCAGTTGTTCGGTAGTTGGAGTATTCTTTGGCACTGCCCTTCTTTGGGATTGGGATATAGACTGATCTTTTCCAATTATCTGGCCACTGCTGAGTTTTCCAAACTTGCTGGCACATTAAATGTAGCACTTTAACAGCGTCATCGTTTTAAGATTTTAAATAATACAGCTGGAATGCCATCACCTCCACCGGCCTTGTTGTTAGTCATCCTTTCTAAGGCCCACTTTAATTCATGTCTGGCTCAAGGCCAGGAACCTTCATGTCTGGCTCAAGGTCAGGAACCACCAATCCCCTATAATGAGAAGAACATCTTTCTTTGGTGTCAGTTCTAGAAGGTGTTGTAAGTCTTTTTAGAATTTGTCAGTTTCAGCCCTTCAGCATCGGTGGTTGGTGCATAAACTTGGATTACTGTGATGTTGAAAGGTCTGCCTTGGATTCGTATTGAAATCATTCTATCATTTTTGAGATTATATCCCAGTAGAGCTTTTTCCACTTTTTTGTTGACTATGGGGGCTACTCCATTTCTTCTATGGGACTCTTGCCCACAATAGTAGATATGCTAATTGTCTGAATTGAATTCACCTATTCTCGTCCATTTTAGTTCACTGACGCCCAGGATGTCAATGTTTATTCTTGCCATGTCCCTTTTGACCACATCCAACTGACCAAGGTTCATAGATCTTACATTCCAGGTTCCTATGCAGTATTTTTCTTTGCAGGATCAGAATTTCCTTTCACTTCCTGGCAGGTCCGCAGCTGAGCGTCCTTTCTGCTTTGGCCCAACCACTTCATTAACACTGGAGATACTTGTACTTGTCCTCTGCTCTTCCTCAGTAGCATGTTGGATGCCTTCCAACCTGAGGGGCTCTTCTTCCAGCATCATATCTTTTAGCCCTTTGTTTCTGTTCATGGGGTTTTCTTGCCAGTTCCTGCTCCAGGTGGATCGTGTTTAGTCAGAAGTCTCCACTATGACCTGCCCATCTTGGGTATCATTGGCATGGCATAGCCCATAGTTTCTCTGAATTACTCAAGCCCCTTTGCCACAACAAGGCAGCTATCCATGAAGGAGGGAAAGAAGGAGAGAGAAGTATAACTTTTTAGAGGCTGTCAGTTTATAAACTAGTTATAGCAGAATTATCTAAGTGTTAGAGTCCTGTCAAAAGTGTGAATTAAAATTATTCTGCAAAGAAATGGAAGACGAAAAAGGGCAAGAGTCCCTGTGTACAAACTACTGTGAAGTAGCAAACTAGCAAGAGAAGCTTATGGGTGTCTCAGGCTCAGTGTTTGGTCCGTGATAGTCCCATGTAATATGGTGCATAGTCTTTGATGTACAATCTATATTTTGGGGGCCCTTTTCTTACAAAGGAAATGCAGACACAGAGACCACTCAGGAAAACTACTGCCATTCAATGAAAATTACAGAAGCTGGCTTGGGAAAAAAGTGTCACAAATACTGGATGGATTGGGTGAACAAAGGTTGAAGAGGTTGTTTTGTACAGTATTATAAGATATATGAGGATTAAAATCTTTTGAATGAGGTACAAGAGCTTCCATACAGGGAACACAAATGTTAACATTAATCTTGGTTCCAGCTCTTTTTGTTAATGCAGTGAAATATCTATCCCCTGCACAGCCAATAGATTAAACTATAGAACTCACAGCCAGAGTGGCTTGGTGGCATCATGTAACTACCCTGGCTTACCCTAGACTAACGCATGTTGTTTGATTGCTCCCACTTCACACTGTAATTGGCTTATTGCATCATCTGGCAGCCAACAGCTTCTTTTCTCTAGTGTGTTCTCTCCCAGCAGTCCAGAGAAAGAAGCCTGGAACACACAATAGGTTATTCAGTGGAAGCAGGTTTGAGTTCCAAGTCTAGGAGAAAGGCAGCATATAAATACAATAAATGCATACATTCTTCAGTACTGTTCAAACATCATATATAAGAGTGATGGGGATAAGCCCCATTGCCTCTATCCCCACCTGGAAGTCAGCAGCATCTGACTGTTTAATCATAAAGGTCTGCAAAGGAGCCTGGAAGTAGAGTCAACAGTAGATGCTTTGTATCAAGTGCATAGAAGTCTTGCTGACTTCTGGGTGGAATGCAGAAGATAGGATGCACATAAGTACTTTGTCCCCGCCACCCATTTAGCCCTATGTGGCTTCAGGCGTGAAGCTTGAATAGGGGGTTTCTTCAGTTTGTTGGGAAGAAAAGGAAAAGTTCCTTCTTCCATATTGATTGCACAGTAAACAAGCCAAGCAACAAAGCTGTGTGATTTATTTAGTGGGTCTGATAGAGCAGCATGCTGTTTTTAGCTACCAATTCACAACAAACTAGAATGCCTGGTGAGTTATGTTGTCTGAATTCGCTTAGTACACAAGTCTGGCCAGCAACTTTAGCAGCTTCAAAAAGACATTGGAGACATCCATGGAGAATAAAGAAGTTATGGTGGTTATATCACTCCCAAGATCAGAGACAAAATGACTTTGAATACCAGCTTCTGTGGAACAACAGCAGATGAAGGTTGTTTCTCTTCTAGGCTTCCCACAGATGTCTGGTTGGCCCCTGTGGGGAAACAGAATACTGGACTGGATAGGTCTTTGATTCAGCAGGGAGGTTCTTAATAACCTCAGGGAAAAGTATGTATGGCGGGATGGGATAGTTTGCTGGAGATAGTGCCTGGAGGCCCCTTCCACTGCAGTACCATCTATGGCAAGTGCAACATAGTCTTGTCTAGCTTGGTGTCTGCTCCCCACATCCTCCCACACTTTGAGCAACTTTAAACATATTGTATTATTTAATTGTGCACACAGGTTTACTCAGTTTTTTTTTTTTTTAAATGAAGTAGTTGTGGAATGGAAAAGATCCAAATGAAGAAGGTACTGCTGAACAAAGAAGAAGAGACTGATGAGAAAATTGGCAATGATGGGAAAGAGAACATCTCCTCAGCCAGGTTTGTAGCTTGTCTGGACTTCTCTGATGGACTGCTTTTGAATACTGCATGCACTTGGCTTTTGCTGTTTTGTCTGTGATTTGTTTTGGGAATAAATCTCATTGAATTCACTGGAACTTGTTTCCAGATAAAAAACACATAGAATTGGTTTGCAAAATTCCTGTTGCAAGTTGAAGGAACTCTAGGAACAACAAGTTTACTAATTCCAGAAATCTGATAGAATATTATGGCTTGGAGCAAAAAAGTTTTGCAGGTTAGCAAATGTATCCCGGCACAAACCTACATGGATTGGAGCCCATTTTGTCTGTTTCATGTGACTCATCAGAACTTTTATCATGTTTTGTGGCTTGGGGGAAATTGTGATATTTTCATTGCAGATTTCCAATGCCATCTCTTTGGAAACACTGTCACAATGATGATTTCAGAAGTTTTATCAGAGCATCATTTTCTTTAAAAAAAGGGATGTAATATCTGGCTGAAGAGTGATGGTGTTAGTGCATTTTCTGTCTTCCACAGCAACAACTTCCTTTTTGTTTCTTGCAGAAAGATTTACTTGGATTACAATGCAACAACTCCTCTGGCACCAGAAGTGATTCAGACAGTTACAGCAGCCATGAGTGAAGCATGGGGCAATCCTAGCAGTTCTTACACAGCAGGTCAGAGCAATGATGTGTTGAAGTATTCTGGTAGAGCAACATTTTGGGGTACAAATGTATCTTCCCTTAATATGTCTAACCATTGAGCTATCCAACAGTTCTCTTATAAGTCAGGTGTGGGCAACATGTATATCTTATATATATTCTACCACCACTATTGAATCATTTTAACAGCAATTGCAATGATTGATTAATTTTTTAAAAATGATGTGTGGATCGTTATCTCTATATCTTACTTACAAGTGCCATCTGATGAGACACTGATTGAAAGAAAATGCTGAATAGGAAGACACATTGCTTTGTCCAGCAGTGCATCTCTCCTGTGTTAAACATTGTATCCTACTCTGAAAGGCTCATTCCAGTTTTAATAAGCTACACACAGCTTTTGGAACTCTTCCCATCCTGACGTCTTAATTTTAAAAGCATTTCTTGTTCTTTGATATGATAGGTCGAAGGGCAAAGGAGATAATAAATGACGCTCGTGAAAGTCTGGCTAGAATGGTAGGAGGATACCCCCAGGATATCATCTTCACATCTGGAGGGACAGAGGTAAGAGAGAGGGCACCAGGAGGCCTGGGAGAACAGATTATGACATGCTACTGGCTTTATATCAGTGTTGTGCATATCATAGTGCTGGCATCTCATTATTGATGGCGGGGGAGTTTCAGCAAATGCCAGTGAGATCAAACAGGAGATTGTTCCAGTTCTTCAGAATGGCCCAGTCTTTTATTTAAAACTTGTGAAGAAGCACCTTGTGCAATTTCATGATCTTAAGTTGGTTTTATGGTACAAATCAGTACTCTGTGTCTCATGGCTCTGAGAGTGAACCATGAATCTCCTGATGAGTAAATTACTAGGGAAATACTGGTACATTGCAGTAAAAAATTCAGAGGTGTCTGCTAAGGACTGGTAGATGGATTATGTACAGTCAAATTGATCTGTGGCAGCTCTTGCCAGATTTTCCAAGTGGTAAAGTATTCAGATTTGGATTTAAATGCACTTAAGCAGTTGGTAAATGACAGTGGGACCTGTATTCCCTCCTCTCTTTTTCCACACAGGCCAATAATTTAGTGATCCACACTGCAGTGAAATATTTTAAGGAAAGTAACAAACAAAGGCCTGTTGGTCCAGAAGTTCAAAAGAAGATTTTAGGGACATCTCCCCATTTAATTACCTCTTCCATTGAGCATGATTCAGTCCGTCTTCCTGTGGAGCACCTGGTGAAAGAGCATGAAGCTGGTGAGCACTGCCCGCTGAAAGAGAGATGCTTACTTCCATTCTCACTGGACAACCTGCCTTTTTCAGCAATTGTAATCTCTATGTAATAGATTCTAGTCCTCTTACTTGATAGACCAGCTTACTATCTATTGGCTTCTTGTTCCAAAAGCCAGTGGGCTAAAGTTGGCCCAGCCATACTTTCACTAAGATGCCCAAGATCAAAAGCTTGAATTACTTTCTTTGTGCCTTTTTCACCCAGAGCTTGACAAAGTTACTTATTAAAAATTCTGCCTCCTGGAGTTCCCCACCCAGCATATTCATTGGGAGTTACAGTTCAATTATGCAGCTTTGCCACTCTCTGCCATTTTCTTCCTTTATTCACTCAAAGGCAATCTATTTTAGACGCAGCAAAGGCATTCCTCCTATGGGCTTATCCCTACCCTGGAGGAAAGGCAGGGGTTTACATGCGTGCAATCCCAGGTTGGATTTCTGGTATCTCCAGTTGTGCAAAATTGTGACAGAGTTGAAGGGAAGACATAGAGACTTAGGGTCAGGTTTTGCCAAATTAAATAATTAAACAGTGCCCAGATTCCTCCCCTCTCATCTCACTCACATTACAGCTGGTGTTCCAAGATAACAGCTGTTGAGCAGGTGCTTTTGTTTTTAAACATGCTTCTTTAAAGCCATTTCCCACTTTCTGCTTCCTTCCAAGATCCCTCCTGATAGCTGTATTTTATAGAACTAAGAAACATCTGCCTGTTACCTAACTGTAGGGCTGGTGTTTCTCTGACACCCCCCACTGCCAAGTCTGATGCCCAAAATATAATAACTGCTGATGAGCATTGGAATAACAATGCCTTCATCCTCTTTCTTTCTCTCCTTCCTTCACCCATGCTTGCTTCCTGATTTATAGAAGCTACTTTTGTCCCTGTGTCCAAAGCCACTGGACAAGTAGAAGTAGATGATGTCCTTGCTGCAATCCGTCCAACAACATGCCTGGTTTCCGTAATGCTGGCCAATAACGAGACTGGGATTATTATGGTGAGTTGTGCCATTAAAGGGATATTGATGAGTAGCAGGTGCTCCCTCCCGTCCAGATATTTCCTATTCGGTAAACTTTCAGGCGCAGTTATAGTCATATTTACTTATGTAGTCCTCTAATTGTGATCTTTCCCACACTCCCAAACTAGTTTTTCCAGACTCAACTTGATAAAGCTGCTTACTGGTAAAGATACACAAAAAGCTTTTCTTATGGCTTGCCCTTTTGATTCCCCCCCCTCTTTATTTTCATTTTGTTGTTTTTGCTCTCCTCTCTTTTCACATATTCTGCAGCAGTTGCTCTCTTTAGATCAGATGTTAGTGGTTTATGCTTTTAATTCTTAAAAATTACAAAGTGGTTGTGAAACTAACGCAAGAATGAAGTTAAATTTCTGATTATCTGCAGCTAGTGCAGGCAAAAATTGTAAGATGTATGACTGGAGGAGAGGGAATGGTTGTGGCGCTGCTGCTGCTACTATTG